CCCCCCCCTTCCCCGGCTACATGCCTGCTCATAGCTTACTAGATGCTGGGGCATAAGGAAAATAGTTTCTTCATGGATTGCTACAATCTGGCAGGGAGAAGAACTCTCTTCTTCTAATCTAACTCGGTTGTTGGTCTCACTTCTGCAGCTTCAACCAAAAGGAAGGAGGAGTTGGTTTTCAAGCAAAGGACAGCTTTCAGTGATGCAAACATTGTGGTAATATTGGGATTCAGGAAGAACTAAGGACTATATAACACCCTACAGTTATCATGCTATGGTTCCATTTTAGCTGCTATGACACCATCCTATGCTATCTTGGGATTTGTAGTTTGGTGAGCCACTAGAACTTAGCCAGAGACAATAAAGCTCAGTTCTACAGGATGTTATCATAGCAATGGAACCATTCTAAAAACACCCCAACAGCAAATCCCATGTTCCATGGGATGTTGCCATGGAAGCCAAATTTGGATCCCAGTGCTATAATGTGAAAGGGCCCCAAGTTATACTCCCCCTGAAGGTGTAGGTTCGCAGCTTGGGTGTGATCCTGGACTCATTGCTGAGCCTGGAACCCCAGGTTTCGGCGGTGACCGGGACAGCATTCACACAATTAAAACTTGTGCGCCATCTGCACCTATACCTTGGAAAGTCTGACTTGGCCACGGTAGTACACGCTCTGGTTACATCCCGTATAGACTACTGCAATGCTCTCTACATGGGGTTGCCTTTGAAGACTGTTCAGAAGCTTCAAATGGTCCAACGGGTGGCAGCCAGATTGCCAACAGGAACGGTGCTCAGGGAGCATACAACTTCTCTGTTGCGCCCGCTCCACTGGCTGCCAATCTGCTACCGAGCACAATTCAAAGTGCTGGCTTTAGCCTATAAAGACATAAATAGTTCTGGCCCTGCCTATCTGTCCAAATGTATCATTCCTTACAAACCATCTAGGAATTTAAGATCTTCTGGGGAGGCCCTGCTCTTGGTCCTGCCATCTTCACCGGTTCGGCTGGCAGGGATGAGAGACAGGGCCTTCTCAGCGGTGGCCCCTTGGCTGTGGAATGCCCTTCTCAGGGATATTATTATTATTTATTTCCTATGTTTATACCTTGCCCTTCTCTCCCCCTCTTAACGTTTCTGGCCCCCACCCTCGTAACATTTCGTAAAATAGTCAAAACCTGGCTATTTGAGCAGCTTTCCCAAATGCAGTGTAGCAGATAAACTCTGATCTCAGAATGACTGGACAACGCGACTGGATAATGATTTGGTAATTAAATGCTGAGGATTTATTGTTTTAGGATGTTTTTATTGATGTTATTATGTAGTGAATGTTTATCTATGTTTAAATATTTTAGCTATTTTTATATTGTTATGGGCATCAAATTGTGCCGTTCTGTAAACCGCCATGAGTTGTCCCCGGGCTGAGAATGACAGTATAGAAATATAGTAAATAAATAAATAAATAAATAACACTGGCCCATTAATTCTTGACCTGGATTCAAGATAGCGCCACTACTAGCCTGGTGGACCTACCAGACTTCCATTGTATTAAGTGTTAACAGCATGGAATTAATCTACAGGATTGATGTAGCTTCTATTGTAAACCTTCAGGAGTTTGGTTCCATCTGATGAGCGTAGAGGCTGTATGCCATGGTTTCTTGGTCCGTAGATGACCTTTGTGGCTTTGAAAAATCCCTGAGCATTATGGGTATCTGCCAGGTGTTGGATTTCTTCGGCCTTCTTTGTCCACCAGATGTTCTTGAGCTCTCTTGTCCTTCTTTGGACCTCAGCTTTTGCACTGGCATAGATCTTTTTCTTAGCAGCACAGTTGATGTCTCTCTGCCATGCTTGGAAGGCTTTCCTTTTCTTGTCAATTAGCTGTTGGATCTCGATGTCATTTTCATCAAACCAGTCTTGATGTTTCTTGATGTTTCTTGATGTTTTTTTAATGTGTATCCAATAGTTTCTTCGCAGGCTTGAATGATGGAGGTCTTTAGTTTGTTCCAATGTTCCTCAACATTTTCGGGGTGTTCTGTGGGTAGATGGTTCTTGAGTGCTGTTTGGAGA